TATATATATAGTAAAGAAAATGTATTTACTTATTTATTTAAACAGCAAGATGACTGCATGATGCGTCACTTCAGGCTTAAATATTCAGTGCAGATAGTGTTTTAAATCTTACTTTTATGGTTCATTGTTCAAATATTTATGTTCAGTTTCAGCCTTTTCCCCACTTRCTGTTCTCCACCGCAGCAGGTTTCAGTTGTCTAACCTGTCTTCAGTTRCTTATTAGCTTCTTTTTGTAGCTCAAGCTCTTTCAGTTTTCTTTATTGTCTTCTGGAGTTTTAATTTTCTTGCACATCCAGCCTCAAAGGAGCTTTTGTTTGGTGAAATCTGCCTTTTGATTTCAGCCTCCATCTGGGGTGTCCCATCATTACCAACATTTTTGTATAAATGAGAAAAAAARTGCTGAAGTCTAATTATTTTTGTTCTACAGTTTAAATTCCTTTCATGCAAATTTTATGGTCACAACGTTCAGCTTCCCTCCGACTCTGTACCTGCTGTTAAATATTCTGCTCTGGTCATCATTTATTCATAAAACCAGAGAGTTGGGAAAGCACATCCCGGGAACATTTGTCAAAAAAAAAATGTTGAATTTTATAACCTGTTTTCAGTGCTGACGATGTTCAAGCTTGTCAGGGTGGTCAAAGAGGCTGCAGAAGCTGAAATCTGAACTCCGGAGGTGGACCACTTTAATGTATAAAGATATAGTTGAAGAGTTTATTAGTTTAAAAACCTCACAGTGATCATGATTGAGTGATGAGCTCATATAACAGATTCGACTTACATGAGTTTGCTCCTAAATGTGATTGTGCAGAGATTATCTTCTGGGAAGAGAAGTGAGCTCACTGTTTCTTCCCTCTGACTTTGATCAGCAGCAACAAGCTCATGAGTGCAGCTGAGGAGGTTTTCAGTGGGAGGAAGAACTGCCAGAAACCTCCCAGCTAGGAAAAAAATAACTGCGTCAGCTATTTCAACCGTCTTTCATCAGCGTGTAACCTGTCATTTTGATAAAACGGCAAAGACGCAAGGCTTCAACGGTGAAGAAAAGTCGGATTTTGGAGTAAATGAATTATCCTTTTATGTCTAATCTGCGTTTGAGCTGTGCTCATCAATTATTTATATGAAACAGGTTTGAAAACTGTTCAAAACGTTCAGAAAATTCATGTAATAAAGTTTTTTTTGAGTTATATCAAGAATAAAACAGTCTGGGTTTATTATTCCTCACGCACAGGGGCGGAGCTAGACGTTTTTGCATGGGGGGCCACAGAGGTGTCTAAGGTGTTTTTTAACGGCGCATACAAATAAAAAAAACAAGTCTGGATTTGAAAATTCAAAATGGCCTCCACAGCTGACAACAAATAGCTCTAATTTAGCAGAGCTAAAATTTTATGTGATCATAGCTAAGATTGATTAAAAAAGTGTGCCGATTGTTAGTCCCAAATAAGATAACTGCTAATGCAAATGCTATTTTTCCCAAACAGCTATATTTTAGCCATTTTTATTCCATTTTTTTGTTTAAAGTAAAATAAAAATAAAATAATAAATCATGCCAGTAATGAAAAGGGTGCAGAGTAAAGAAAAACAATTTARGCTGCTCCTTATTTAAAAAAAAACATTCATTGAACAAGCTCAAGAACTTCAATAATCTCCATTTTTATAAACACACGCATGTGAAAGTTAGCTTAGTAGTAGCAGCCGAGAAACAATCTTTTACAAAATCTGATTTCAAATACAAAATCCAAGATGGCTGCCAAAGTTAATTTCAAATGGCTACAACCCATGACAACCTGAAAGCAGCTAGCAAAAAACATTTTTCATTAAATGCCCATCTTTAAAATGCCACCTGCAAACCCCGCCCCACTTGTCAAYCATGTGGGAGTGGCCACTGGGGTACGAGTGACCACTGGGGTACTTGCCACCCTTGGCCACCTCTCTGGCTCTGCCCCTGCTTGTGGACATATGTTGTGACACTTATTCAAATACATTTTCTGTATTAGCTTCTCACACATAAACTCTGATTTAAACCTGCATACACATTAGCTAATTGTCCTAAATGGCACATCCAGTGCAGGACCCTGCGTTCTCTGCTCCACTTATAACTTTTGAGGGGGAAGCCCTGGTGCTCTGCAGCTAAAAGCAGCACCATGCAATGAATAATGAATTACAGATTCCCTATTCAGATTAGTTCAAAGGCGTTCTGCTAGTCCATGCATAAAGCAACAAGACACACGAGCTTCATGGTAATGGCCCCTCAAATTTAACGGCCTGGGCTGAGCTCGCTGAGACATGCAAATGTCCCAGAGACGAGGATGAAGAGCAGAAGTCGCGGTAATGTTTTGCGAAGGTCAAGAGTTTCCTGTAAGTTTGGCCACCGGCAGGCCTTCACCCCGATGAACCACTCCTCAGAAACTACTGAAGCACAAATCATCCCAAAGGAAGACGGAGCGTTTCATTGATGCTGAGCGATGATAATGACCTCAGCACTGCAGGACTGAGGCACAAAGATGAGCCTGTCAGAGTGGATACAGTGCAGGTCACTCAGTTTAATACCCGTTACTGTAAAGCCTGGCCTCAGGGGCAAAATATTCCTCAACTGAAACCATTTCTGACACTTTTTTTTTGTTCTTGTCATTTTTTTTCCCACTTCAGCCATTTTACTAAAAGTGTATTATTTCTGCTGGGATGTTGTCTAGGGTGTGTTATTTTGTGAATGTGCCCATTTCCTGATTAGGTCCAAAACAAAAGAAGTTGTTATCAGTAAAGGAAGCAGCAGTCTGCTTGTTAGTAGACYGAAGGCAACATGTTTTTGTCTTCAAAAACCAGCAGCCAAGTGGAAAAAAAGTCATAATGGTTTTTTAAAAGGTACTTAATGTGTCTGAGGAGCGTTCTCTTGTTTTTTTGTTTTAAATTTGAATTTTACCACCTACTTCAATGTCTTTCTGTTTTACTGGTTGAATGCCATTAAGACATTCACAGTTGAGACGATCCATTTTTCTTCCACATGTTTTTCAGCTATTTTAACAATTCAAATTTATCAGCTCCTTCAAGACATTCTGTATGACTTTTCGTGTTTCAAAAATACATAATTTATGAGATATTTACCGTTTTTTTCTACCATTTTTGTTCTCATTGAAACTTAACAGCATCTTAAACCGTTAAAAAATTGTTAAACTTTTCCAGCAATTTTCACCTTTCGTTCCAGTTCTTTATTTTATTTTATTATTTTACTTTTTAGTGTTAATTGTAGCTTCCTTCCACTTCCTTAATTTTATTTCTTTTTTCTTTTAGCTTTTGTCTGCATTTTCAGCTATTGTATCTTTCTGCTCTTTCATTTATTCTGCTCTTAAATGTTTTTGTGCTTCTAACAGCTAAAGTTTTTATGCTTCTTTCAGCTGTTTTCTGCAATTTAAGCTACTTTTTAGCTATTTTCAGCTAATTTGAGCCTCTTTAGCTAAATTCAGCTGTTTGTAATAATTTCAAATACTTCTTTCAGCTGCTTAATTCAGCAAATTCTTCTTTTTTGTGCTAGATTTAACTTTTCAGCTACTTTTTAGCTACATTTTTGCTCATTTCAATGTTTATTTTACAACAAACTGCAAAATGTGTACATCTTTTTTCCCCACAAAAATCTTTCAGCATTAAGCTGAAAATGTTAAAAATGCTTCTTAAACATGAAGAAATTTATAGTTATCACAGATTAGTACTGATGTTAGAAGCACAACACTAGATTATTAGGTTTTCCTTTTTATAATGTTTGATCTATTATTAATCTGTTATGTATTAATTGATATAGAGTAGTTACATGTCTGAATCATAAACAACACATAAGTGAACCGTTTTGATAACATTAGGTTGAGATTTTTGGATGAATGCCTGTGATTCAGCCGTAGGTCAGTAGGGGGCGAACTCTGGCATTGAAGAATCATGTATAAAAAGATGTACTTCCTGGCTTTTGGCCAGTGTGGTTTTCCTTGTCAGCCCGGTGACAATTAAACCTCACTCGGTTTTCAGAATTCTGGTGTTGTATGACTTTATTCCTACCACAAATCATTTTATTTAACAGTGGTGTTCTCATCTTGACTTCACTCGTATTGAACACGTATTTTTCTTACAAACAGTTTGTTGAGAGAACGTTTTCCATCTCACTTATTGAGAAATGAAAACATAGAAAAGGCAAATGTATTTTTGGTTCATTTCGTTGTTTTGAGGTTTAAAAGTCGTATTAAAGGGTAAATCTGGATATCAACTTTATTATTTCTTTAAAAGTCAAGGTAAAGTTCTGTTTTAATACAAGCTCTTCTGCAGTACAAATCTGTTTCATGAAACCCTTCAGGGAAATTTAAAGTTTCATGAGAAACACGGTCATGAATCTTTTTTATTTTTCTTTCTTTTAGTTCAAAAATCAACTGTGCCCTGAGGCCATGTTAAAACCATGGGATTAAACGCTCACAGTTTAACCTCCTGTTCGCAGCTGTTATCACTTTTCTCAGATTAAAACACAAAAAGACTCGTTTATATCATCAAATACATTTAGAAATCAAAACTCCCACACGTCTGAAGAAATGAAACCCTTTCAGTGTTTAAGCTCCGTCCAACCAGACAGACTCCAAGWAAATCTTATTCTGTCATTATGTCAACTAAGTATTGATTTTCCWGCCTGGTTCTTTAGGAAAACCTGCAACCTGTGAAATCAGCGTAGTTTTATCTGATCACATCATGGTGAAACAGAGGAAATGAAGATACTGACCTCGTTAAAGTGAACCACCTCCTCACAGTTCTCGGCCACGCGACTGAAGAAGGGCAGACCTGAAACAGGCAGAAGATTTGGAGGTTAGAAAGCAGCAG